CCGAACCATTGAATCAGAGGCGACGCGAGCTCTCTTTGAGAACCACACAAGGAACATAATTTGCATATCGATTTATAAGGATTTGTACGGGATTTTCTACAAGATAACCATGGAGATAGTTAAAAGCGAAAATATTAAATAAAAATGGCTTACCTTAATCTATACGTGTGTTGTTTGCTCCTGGTGTCGTTATTTTACCGATTTCACTTGATTTAAGCGGTTTTTTTAAATCCTGGTTCTCTACCAAAAAAACCACTTAAATCAAGTGAAATCGGTAAAATAACGACACCAGGAGCAAACAACACACGTATAGATTAAGGTAAGCCATTTTTATTTAATATTTTCGCTTTTAACTATCTCCATGGTTATCTTGTAGAAAATCCCGTACAAATCCTTATAAATCGATATGCAAATTATGTTCCTTGTGTGGTTCTCAAAGAGAGCTCGCGTCGCCTCTGATTCAATGGTTCGGCTTCGTAAGGCCATCGTCTTCAAAATACAAAACTTGGCCGTAATACTTTGTTTGCACTGGGAGAGTCGCACGCTATATTCACAACGATCCCCATGTAAGAAGCTCTCCTCAGTAATATTCACTAGTTCCTCGAGCAAATTTGAGCATTTGCGAAAGCGTCTCGCTTTCTCAACGAAGATGATGTTCCCGATCTCTTCAACTTTCTCGACTGTCACCATCGATCAATTCCTCGTGGCTCAAAGGGACTGATCTGATCAAACAATTATCGATTTCTGGGAACGTCTTCCTCGTCGCTTTTTACGACTTGTTAGCCCTTTTCTTTCCCGTTGAGTATTCTTTCGAACGAACGATCGAAAAGGAAAAGATAAATTGGGATGGCATCTTCGATAAATATTTGCGGCCGGCCGCGCGGTTTAACGAAACTGGACACAAGTGGCAAAAAGAAGCCAATCGGACAAAAGTCTGCTTTGTCAACAGAAAATTGGCCAATCAGATTGCGACATTACTGACGATTGTTGTACAACATTAACATAATATTCGATGCTGATACAGGTTTCTCATTTGTTTTTGATCTCTGTGACGAGATTAGTACTGCAAGCACAAAACAACTGTCGAAGTATCAATTCGAGAGATGGTAGGAACCTTTAAAATCTTTTACGAGGTTGATTGTACATTCATGCGTACACTTCTTGCTTGTGGAGATAAAAATAATATGGTTTCTGGAGAAGAAAGGTAACGATTGACCACTTTCATAAATGGCTGCCAGATTAATATTCTTTTGTTTAAATTTAAATTAGCCCTTTTGGCCTCGCTTGAGATAATGTATTCTTTTGAATTTTTATACTGGAGAACGAGGCCAGAAGGGCTAATTTGAATTTAAACAAAAGAATATTAATCCGGCAGCCATTTATGAAAGCGGTCTATGGAACTTGGTAGAAATGGAAATGTCAGATTACCGACTACTTCTGACAAATTTACGAATATTTGTGTCCGTTAGCTAGATCGAGCAATAAACAAGGTTTGACGATGTTTGGAGTGCCACGCTGGGTACAAAAAGCGTGCATTCATCCAAGCAGCATAACTAAATCTTAAGTCGCCCTTACCTAGAGCTCTACTGTGGTTAGCGTTCGTGGAAACACAGCGATATACGAAAGTTAGTTCTCAGAAATCGGCACATGTACTTACATTACATGATCGGATGCACCTCTTTGAAATTTCGTCGATAATCGACCAACACGGAAACCTTTAACGATCAAACTGGTATTAAATGGTACGAAAGAGGTGCTATGGAGAATGTAAACTCCAAAATGGCGAAAGGATAATTCGTACTGCCGATGTGCTGCACTTGGGAAACCCCCTATCCCATACTGCACAGTATGCGCGGTCTGGTCAACCCTGTTTAGCTGGTTTGCCGCACGTGGTCAGCTGGATGTGCGTCGACAACAAAATTTTCTTCGTAGTTTTCTCACTTTCTTGAGAAACGAGATGGTAGAGGTTTCCCGAGGAGCAATACTAACGAGTTTCTCAGTCGGGCGATTATTCTTATATTATCATATCTTATTAGACGTTTTGTTGTGTAGTATCGTTAACGTAGGCGAAGCGGAACGGAATTTGCGCGTTGTCGTATTGCTGTTTCTATTTTCTTCAATAAATGAAGAAATGTGCTGGTCATCTAGCTGTTTTTCTTCGTTTGATTCATCTAATAAACCTGGAGCTATATTTCCCAGCCGTTTCAACTCTTCATCGTCAGAAATATAATTTAAATTGTCCGCCATTTATTTTCGTAACTTCAGTCCGAGAGAACCTGTCTTAACGTTTTCCTGTGAAGTATCGCTGAGGAGAGAAGTCGTTGTCAGTGGAGATGGAAATTGTTTTACCGAGCTATCGCTCTCTGTAGAGACGAAATAAGTGATGAGAAACATGAAGAAATCTGCATGTTAAGTTCTAGTTTTATAGAGAGAAATCCAAAAGTGTTTGAGCCGCTACTCTTCGCTTCCAAATTCCGTGGAGGATCATGTCAAGAAAAGCAAGATCACAAGACCTTGGGCTAAAACTGTGGACACTTCAGCTGTACACCGCTTGTCAAGCGACCCATTTGGGGTGTCCCGAAAACACTGACCCCCTGTCCATGGACCCCCTACGGACCTGGTCCACGGATCCCTGTACGGACCGGTCCACGGACCTTCTACGGACCTCCCTTTACGGACCCCCCATAAAAAGACAAATATTACCGTGGCAATGAAAGGAGGAAAAAGCCGACTAAAAAGTAAAAAAAAAAGAAAAGAAAGGAAAAGACCGGTAACTTAGCTAACTTGTGTATTTATATCCTTCAGCATTCGCTGCTACCGACTGCCTCCGTAATTTTGTCCAGCTCATTCGCCCGCGTGTTCATGGACTGGTCCCAGTCTTCCACAATATAATTCCTTCTCTGCTCCCTCGTGCAACCCGATGGATTACTGGTGAGCTTGGAATTCAATCACCTTTGTTCTTTTGTTTTTTTCTGTGACATCTACATCTAAAACAGTTTACAAATATATGTTGCTTTCTTTAGCTGCCATTCTAATCAATAAATTAAGTAAACTAGATCTTCCTGTCAGTGTAATCAATTGGATTATTGATTTTCTAAGCAACCGGTTCCAAAGAATCAAACTGGCTGAGGGATGCCTCTCTGAGTGGTGCTCAGTTCCATCAGGAGTCCCTCAGGGGACGAAATTAGGGCCTTGGTTGTTTGTGGTTATGATGAACGACCTGATAATCGATGACGCGCGTGTCTGGAAATATGTGGACGACACTAATGCATCTGAAACTGTCAGAAAGGGCGGAGTTAGTAGTGCCCAAATTATTGCTGATAAGGTAGTCGAGTGGTCTCTAGCTAAGAGTCCAGCTCAACAACGAGAAATGCAAAAAGCTTCGAATCTCTTTTGCGAGAAATTGGGCAATATTTGAGCCAATTAGGGTACATGGCAAAGAGTTAGAGCTCGTTGATAGTGCAAAGTTACTAGGAATAACAATCATAAGTGATCTGTCACGGAACACCCATGTAAATGATGTTATCAAAAAGGCAGCCAAAAGGCTATATCCTTAGTTAGATTCTTTGTTTTCAGCTACCTGGACTCATCTCCGCTAGGGCAGGAAAACCTGCACAACACAAAAGTAAAACAAAGTTGTGAAAACCTGAGGTGAAACAAGAAAAATCCCCTTTTTTTTCCAACCAAAACTTATTTCCCCGCAGTTCCAGATTCAAATTACTCTGATCTAATTAGACACACCAAAAAATTGAAACTCTCCAATTTTATCAATAAAATAAACACAAATGTAAATTGTTTTTTAAACATTCAAGGTATGCGGTAAAGAAAGAAGGCTCTCATGCACTTAATTTACTGAACATAAAACATGTTTATTAAGATAATAATAGACAATGAAATATATATTATGTAATTTCCTCATTACTTTCTAAAACAATCTTCTCTGAAACTCTACCCAAAAACAGTTATGTGTACCTTAATAAGAAAGTATTGCAGGAGTTTTTCGTAAAGAGTTTATTCAGGGGAAGATAGTAGCACAGTTGATAAGAAAGTTTGAGCAAAGTCTAAAAAGTGTGGGAAAATAAAAAACTGCTCTTACCCCACGACAGAGCAACTGATGAGAAGGATTTGGGCAACAGCAAAGATATTGTAGAAAGACGATTTTTTTCTGGTCATGGGCATGGGACAGAAAAAATTCTGAGTCCCCATGAGGAATCGAACCTCAGACCTTCAGATTCTGCAGTCCAATGCTTGGATATTGATGACACAAGTAGCAAAACTCTATAAAGAACAGCTTATCAGGACCTATCAGCAATTCTCAAAGATGAAGTAGATGTGTTCCATTTCTCAACACTTTTATACTGGAGAAGATGCAACTGAATCTCACTCTTTAACAAAGATAGAAGCTGCACACCACCATTTTCACACACTACATCAATTGTCACACTCAATTAAAACACATACTCGTTTAACTCAATAAGCACAGAGGGATCCTAATTAACCTGGATCAACCAAAAATGCAAAAGATTTTAGATTTCTTGTTGCACATGGATAAGTGATGTGCCATTTTTGACTACTGAAGTTATCTGCATAAGTCCATCACAAATGTGTTGCATCATTTTTCTGAGCCAGTCGGCAGTTTTTCTGCCATGTCTAGTAGAATGTCATTCACAAGACTATCTCCTTGCTTGTGTCACATAACTTGCCACCCAATGTCAATAAATATATATTTTGCAGACAAAAGTTCGTTTTTTCTTTCTTTTTTTTTTCCTTTTTCTCTTTTCATCCTTTCCTTCCCTTGCCATTTTCTTTCTTCCTTTTTATTCAAGAATGAAGTAATGGATTGTCTTAGAACACACAAGCCAAGTGGTCTACAACACAGGACCATAGTCCAGTTTCCATGGCAACTGAAGTGACTAAGACAGTAACACATCTCCCTTGATGAGATGCTTGTCATACATTCCAGTGCGAGACAGGTTACATCCCCCCAGCATTTGGTCAGCTTTTCCTTTCCCACACCTTTAATGCAAATTTGTATAGTAAAGAAACAATGGTTACAAAATTAATATTCTTATAAATAAAATCCCCTGATGAGTGAGTAACCACAAAACAGGCTTGTTTCTACAAGGCTTATACCAAAAGTGAATTATCAGTATTTCTGGGCTTCTCCTAATCCTGTTTACCTATTTACTACAATTACTTTAGATCCAAAGAGATCAAAGGGCTTCTACTCAGAGAGTAGACTACCAGGAAGATAATTTGCAAAAGTGAAGCAATGATCAAACCTGAACAGTTTTATCAGTATTAAAAGTCAATAATGATGGCAGTAACAGTATCAGCCTAACTGTAAACAAAAACCGTGGTTTCCTTCATCTTTGATCACACAAAAAGGATAGTCAACCATGGATTCAAAAACCTGTCTTTCCAGTTCAGCTGGATCAAATGATTCTGTTGGATTCAAGGAGATTATTCGACCAGCATTTACAGGCAAATTGTACAACTCATCCAGGAGAGTTTTCATTTCAAGGGCTGGACACAATGTAAACTTTGCACGATTTAATAAACAGTTCCTAAGTTTTACTTCTGACAGTTCTTTGCATGATGTGCATGAAATCGAACTCAGTTTTGGGCAATCTTCAACTGACAGTTTTATTATTCCACACTTTTGTAAGAAAACACTTTTTATAACTTGTGATGAAAGAAGAAGATGGCCATCATCATTAGAATTAGCACAATCAGGTCCAGTAAGTTCACAAGTAGATTCTCTCTTAAACATATTCTGAACTTTGAGAAACTGAATGGCTGGCAGCTGACGGATGAATTGAGAAAAATGATCCAAAGACAAATTCTTACACTTGTAAAATGTCAAATCAGATATCGTCAGACATGTCAAATTTGGCGTAGGCCAAAGTGTTGCATTTCTCAAATTTGGACAATTGCTGACCGATAAATAGCGAACCTGTGGAAATACTTGAAGAGCTAGTTTCAACCCTCTATCAGACAATGCAGGCGTCTGCTCTCTTTCAATCATTAAGCCATGCTGTTGGAGTTCCTCTTCCGTGTATTTCCCTTTTTCAGGAAAGTCATCAGCGTAACCCAGGTGAAGACTTTCAAATCTTGGATATTCTGCATGAGCCATTAACAATGCTGAGAAGACTGCATCCTTGGTCAACGAAGGCTGAATGCATAATTCTTCCAAGCGAAAGGCAGATACCAGTACTAAATAACCAAGATCTACCTCAATGGCATCATAGCATGATGCCAGTGATACTCTTGTAAGGTATCGAAAGCTGCCTAGTCGCCAGTTTTCCTCAACAACATGCCGAAACACACCCCCTGGGAAGGGGACCCGCACCAATTCAAGGCGTTCCAGATGTGCTGCTCTTCCCAATGCATGGAAAAGAGGAATACAGACTCGTGGACTGAACGAACCAGTTTCAATAACACCCATACAGTTTTTCATGATAAAATGTTCTAACTTTGGGCAGGAAAAGTCTTTGAAAGGTTCATGATCTGTAAACTTAACCCATCGCAGTTGAAGAATTGTCAAGCCCTCTATTGTGGGTAACGATGGCACAGTTACACCTGTTAGTACCAGCTGAGATAACTTCACTCTGGTTGGAATGGACAGAAAACTGTTTGGAGGGATCGGGAAATCTCCGCCTCTATTACGGAAACCACCGGCGATTTCCAAATTTGGCTTGATTGCCAACATGGCGTCCAAAACTTGTATGTTAGAAGTGCCGATTGATTTTAGCTTCTTACAATAGGTCAACGCGGCAGTGATTCCATCAACACTTAACACGTCTGTGTGTCTCTGTCGACGTTTCGTCAGCGACGTAGGATGTATTCCGAGCACAAAGTTTACCTCTGGACATCGTTGAAGCAGGCGCGAAAATATACCGTCTGTTATTAATGGAGACATTTCTCCGTACCACTTTCCCTCAGTAAAATCAACCGACTTCCTTGTTCTCAAATGAATTGTTGCAGCAAGTGAAAGCTTGCTGCCAGTAGTCTCGAGTCGAAGTATTTCTTTAAGCGACAAGGAAGACATAATCTTTACCAGGATCTCCAGAGACAAGTCACCCAGTGAAAGTAACCGTGAATTGTCCCTCCTGTAAAATGGCGACACTTCTTTTTCCCTTGGTTTTTCGTCATCATCATCTCTCGGATCTTCCATTTCGCGATAAGGGGTACTTTAACGACTATTGTTTTTTCTTCTTTTATGAGAAAGACATTTATCCCCACACTCGCACACTTTCATTTCGTAGTTGTCGGGAGTCAGTTACCGATCGTTGGTCCGATAGTTGTCGATTGCGAAGATCTCTCGAGTGTGATGTTAATGGCCAGCAGTATTATTTTTAGGAGCTTCCGACTCTTCACGAACATGCATCGAAGAATAGCCGAAGGGGCTCAGAAAAACATGGCGGACGAGTTTTGATCGCATGGAAATGCCTCTCATCAGGGAAGGACTTTCAATTGGAACACGGAATGATGCAAGCAATTTAGTAAGCGTCAAATTGCCAGATGACACTTTAAGAATCCTTACTGTGGACAGTGAACCTCTCAAAATCGAGAAAGATGGAGTTTCAATAAGGCATATCACTTGCTTAGATGAACCCGAAGCAGATCTTCTAAGTTTCTTTGACGAATGTTCTGACTTCATCACAGCAGGCTTACAAAACAAGCAAAATGTGATCGTTCACTGGTTAGTACGATTTTCAGTGGTTGATTTGTTCACGGATCTACACCGTAAACACACTGTGATACTATATATACATGCAGATCGTGAAACCTTGAAGCTTTTGCTTAAAATCAGGAAACGTGGAATATTGGGGATCCTGGAATATATTAAAAAAATTACCTTTTTCCATTTTTCATACAATGAATATCAGCTAACTTGATTCATGGCAATAACCCCACAAGACTATTACTGCTGCATTTCTCATAGACCTCAACATAGCCTATGTGTAACTGTACCCTCCCCCCAAGGAGAAATAATGTGAGAAGGGGGGAGGATATCATGGTTACACCAAGGCTAACCTCAACAGGGTACTATGTAACTGGCAACTACATGTGTGATTAGCCAGTATAGCACTCTAATTCATTTTCTTGACTTAAACAAAGTTAAAAAAATAAAGTTTAACTTTAACCAGCCTCAGCTCTCCAATAAAGTGCAATGTTTGCATCTTTGCTCTTCCCACTGAATTTTTATTTTGGTTCCTTGATTCAAGTGTAGTGAATCCAACAAATTCTGTTTGCTTTGATCTGCAGCCTTGAAGGTGTGTCACGTAGTGCTACTGTTGTGTTAGCCCATCTGATGAAGTCAGACCAGTTGTCAGTGGATGAGGCCATTGCTTTTATGAAGAAAATTCATCCCAAAGCCAAGTAAGATATTAGGTGAAATGATCATAACTATTATTATGAAGACATGAAAGTTTCTTGGGAAGAAAACACTATTTATAGGTTGTAATACCTTTATAGACTCCTTCACTTGTAACATGTACATTAAAGAAACAAAAAGCACGTTTATTCAAATAATTAATTTACCATGAATTTATTTTATATTGACTTGAGGTTGCTTGTTTGATTGCTTAATTTGTATATTTTTTAGTCCCAATGTTGGCTTTCTTGAGCAACTTCAACTTTACGAAGCAATGGGAAATACAGTTGATAAAACTCATCCTGTTTACAAACAGTACCGTCTGCAACTGTTGGCCAGTCATATACAGAGTAAGTCTGTGAAGAAATACTTACTTTTTCAGACATTAGAGGGAATTTGTATAACCTTTTGTTAAATTCCAATGAGTTTTCACACATGCTAATGAAACAACAATTGACAACAGTTCTGAAAATTCATTCAATCAACTAAGTACTAAGGGTAATGATTTTTTAGGGGTGGTGGTGACTGTTAAGTCACAAAAATCAGCAAAAAGCCAGTTATATTCAAAAGCACTTCACTTATTTGTGCACATCCATGACCTTTTGGCTACACAGAATGTGCTTGGCTCATACTTGGCTAAAAATCCACTTGTTTTGAACAGCCCAGTATATTCCAACTTATATTGTCATGAACTGTTTCACAGACGAGTGATTCAAGCGTTCACAACTGTTCTTAATTGTTCTTCTCAGTAGCGTTTAGTGAAAACTCTTTGGTATACATGCGTAATGAACGGGTTGTACAAATTTGCTCTTACTAATAGATAGACTTCGAGTATTCACTCAGCTTTTTTAATTTTCAAAACAGTAGCCTCAGGTTTGTTTAGGGAAATTTGTTAGACAAACATTTTAGAGCAAAGATTCAGTTGTTTTCGTCGATTATAATATGTGGTATTGAATAATTTTTGAAAAGGAATATTTTAGAAATATATGCAAAAATTTAACTTACAAGATATTTTAATTTTTCTTATACTTAGGTAAGCAGTCAGTGACAAAAGATCTTCTCTCTTCTCTGATTGAGGAACTAAAAGACAACACTGCCTCAAATGATAAGAAGTATAAATGTAGAAAATGTAGGTAGGGAAATTCAAATAAATTTAAATTCTTGAATTAATTTTATTTGTTTGCCTGCCTCCAACTTATATTCTTTCAAAAATACTATAAATGAAAATTTATCTTATATTTGAAGACTAATTTTCAAAACTTCAGTGGAGGTACTCAGATGGCCATAGGTGCTATTCCTATTAGGTGCCCTTTACCTCACTGTAATTTTGTGCTTCCCATTCTTTCACAGAAATATTGCTCAAGATTAGTAACTGTTATCTTTTTATGGTTCCTTACTTATGACTCTGCCTGTCAAAGTACAAAAATTGTTTAAAAGACTTCTTAAAGGGAAATTGTCATTTGAACTGCTGATAAAAAATTTGATCATTAAAAAAAGGGTAAGTGGCCCATGTTACCTAACCAGAGCTTGTGATTAGGTGATTAGGAGTACAGTGGAACCTCAATTATCTGGACCT